ACTGGACTTTGAATTCATTCTCTACTTATCTGTGAGGATTTAGCAAATCTTAAATTTTCTAACGTTCAGATATTCTATCAATTAAGTAGATATAAAATCTGGCATATTGTAAACACAAATTGGATTATTACTGGTGAAAATGTGGAGAAATAAACTGTATCATACTACAGGGATGGACAAGTAAATTGGTTCAATTTTTCTAGAAGGCCATTTGTCACTGCGTATCAAATAATCGTACTGTGCATATTCTTCAGAATTCCAAATTTTTAAAAACTTTAATAAAATAATTATGAGCACAAAGCTGTGTATACAGATGTTTATTGAGATAACATTTAAAATAATTAAAATGGGAAACATCTGCATGTCTGAAAGTAATGAAATAATTAAATAAATTATTAAATATCCATGCAAAGTAATATCCTGAGTTGGTAAAGCTAAGTGTTTCCACAGCATATTTTATAAGTGGAGACCTATCTGATATATACCAATAAATTAAAAAGTAGGCTATAAAAATGCTTTTACAGTATGATGTTCTTAAGTGATGTGTATGCATGGGAGAAAGGGTGATTATGTAAATGCATATGTGTATGGTTGTATCCACATAAACACACATACATATAATAAAAGTGATTATGTCTGAGTGATTGGGTGTAGATTTAATTTATTGCTTTTTTGGTGTTTTTCAGTAGTTTGTAAATTTCCTGAAAATACATTATTACAAAAAAAATTTACAACATGGAAGGAATACAAAATCATAAACTACATAAAAACATAACTAGCCAACTACTTAAAACATTATTTCCTAAGTGACAGTGAAGAGTGATAAGCCTTATTATTTAAGGAAATTCACAAATTAATATGAATATCAGTAAGACTCCAGGAGAAAAATGGGCTAAAAAAAATGGATAAACAACTTGTGGAAAAAATAAAATATGAACAGCTAACAAACATAAAAAACTTTATCTTTAACAGTAAAAGAAATGGGAATCTCAAAAGAAATGGGGATAAAATGTTGTAATTTTATGTCTATCAAATTAGCAAAGATATTTTATTGCATGTCTGTTTCACCATCATATACTGTTGATGGAAATATATTAGTAAATATGTTAAAAAAACTTTCATATGCTTATGCTTTCTTATCCTAAATAGACAATAGATTTCCAGACAGAAGCAAATGTATCACACATTATATATAATTGTTTGAAACACTGAAAATAACATGTATATTCTATAATAGGAGAATTGTTTTTAAAATTGTGATACATCTGGGAGATTTATTTTCCATCCACTGAAATTTCATTTACAAGAAATTTTAGTGATGTGAAAAATACTCAGAAAATGTTAGATGAGAAAAATAGACATGAAAAAGTGGAAATAATATAAATTAAATATATAAAAGGAGCATTAAAGTAAATCAGAGACTGGGAGAAATTAAACTAAAATATTCTTAAAATATTTTATAATAATGTAAATATTATAAATAGTATTTGAAATACAGATTTTTTTCAAAAGTAGAATACAAGTGATTTGTTTTTTTCCTTTATTTCTAAGTGTTCATAGTTTTTTATTGAGCTATAGTTGATGTACAATATTTTGTAAGTTTCAGATGTACAGCATAATGATTCACAATTTTTAAAGGTTATATTCCCTTTATAGTTACTATAAAATGTTGTCTCTATTCCCTGTGCTATACAATATATCTTTGTAGCTTATTTATTTTATGCATAGTAGTTTGTACCTCTAAATACCCTACCCCTATTTTGTCCCTTCTCCCTTCCCTCTCCCCACTGGTAACCACTCGTTTGTTCTCTGTATCTGTGAGTCTGTTTCTTTTTTATTATATTAACTATTTTAATTTTTATTTTTTTAATTGAAGTATAGTCAGTTACAATGTGTAGTTTGACTTTTAGATTTCACATATAAGTGATATCATACAGTATTTGTGTCTCTCTGTCTGATTTATTTCACTTAGCATAATGCCCTCCAAGTCCATGTTGTTGCAGATGGCAAAATTTCATTCTTTTTATGGTTGAGTAGTATTCCATTGTGTATATATATATATATATATATATATATATATATATATATATATATATATATACACATACATACATACATACATGTAAACCACACCTTCTTTATCATTCATCTGTTGATGAACACTAAATGTTCATAGTTTTCATGTAAATCTTAATTTTTTTAAAGTTGCTTATCTCCTGTTTGACTCAAACCTTTTCCTGCTACCATGTTTATCATCTCATTTAAAAATAGCCAGTCATGTAAGTCAGGAAGCTTCTCACTCAGCATTCATTTCCAAAAACCATGACCGAATTTGATGGAGTCTTTTCTTCATACTACTTCTCATCCCCTCCTGAGAACTGCACTGTTAGTACCACCTTTTCAATTCTGCTGCTCTTCATCTCTGAGCTGGAAAAAGTGATGGTCTGTTGATGAGTTTCCCCAATTCCATTTGTGTCCCTTTAAATCCATTCTCAATACAGCTGCCCGGCAGCTCAGTCTAAAACAAATGTCTGACCATGACCTTCATTCACCCTCCTACATTCCTTCAGAGATTTCCTGTACATTGACAAGATCCAAGTTACTTGTCTCGAATACCTGCTTCTGCATCCTTCTTTAATATCTTTGCTTATCATGCTCAACCTTAATTCTACATTTCATCATATACTCACATCTTTGGTTCCATAACTTTGTGCCTTGATGTAGAGGCTTGTTTGGATTGAAATGCTTTTCTGTTCATCCCCTCCTCCCTTTTCTTGGCTTCGCTAACTCCTCTTTATACTTAAAGGCTTAGGTCTAGTCCTCATTCCTCATCGAGGAAGTTTTTTTCTGAGCATTTTTCATGTTCTAGCACCATATGTTTACTGTCTATCAGATAAGTGACAACTTTATTCAAATTATCTACTTACATGTTATCCTCCCCTCAAGGCCAGTGAGCTCCAAAGTGTAATGCATATACCCTATGAGGTGAGCAGGAAGATCTTTTGAGATGCAAAGTAAAACTATTTGTATCTCTATTTATGTTAGTTCATCATTTCTAACTTCTGTGTTTAAGTATTTATATAATTTAGGTAATATATTTGTACAGTAATAAATTATATCATATATAAATGCATATACATACATATATAGGAGTGAAGTACATGCAGAAAGGTTTTTTTGCTGGTGGGAATGTATGATTTACAATGCATGAAGACTATCACTCTGAAACTTCACAATGGCAAGAAATATACCTTATTTATCCAGAGCATATAGCAAAGTATTGGACACATAGGGGCTCTCTGTTGAACTTAACTGAAAGTAAAATTTTAGCAAACTCTTATTCATGTTTGTGAAGTTAGTTGTGAAGTGATTAAAAATTTAAATTAAGGTACAAAATTCTCTTTCTCTTGTTTACTAAACTTACTATGTACGAGAGTTAGAGGGAATTTGAGAGAAAAATAGAAAGCTGTAGAGAAAAAAAGTCCATACGAAAGTAACTTTCATCATTGCAAATGGATTTGAATTATGAGGAATGCGAAGTTTTAGCATATGTATGCTTACAGTTTCCCAAAGTTAGCTAAAATAGAATGCAACATTGTCATAAGCAAGAAGGTCTGTGAGGATTTATAAAAGGGAGCATGCCTTTCAAAGCAAATGAAATTTTGAGGATAGAGTGTGTTTGTGTACCCGATTCTACAAGTCCAGAACTCGCAGGTCCTTTAAAATTCCTTCACAAGGAGCTGCCCAGTTTATATATGCATTGGGATATCAGCCAATCAGGTTTAATACTAATCTAATAGAAGAACCGAAAGTCTAAACCAGAGAGAAAAATTTCATCAAATAAGTTTGATTACCTTATAGGGAATGACTCTCCTAATTTTAATAAAAGTGTAGTCATAGTTATCTGTAATTCCAGAGAAAGATTGTAAGGAAAGTCATCTTCATGGTTTGCATAAAGACAAATGGGTCCACGAATGAATAAAATATTTATGAGCTGTGTTTTGGTGTTGTTTTCAGGGTAAATGTGAAGGTATATGTCTAAATATAACATCAGCTGTTGGAAAGGAATTTTTCTCTTTTAATTAGTTTAAAAATTTTTTTATGAAATTGATAACTAAAAAGGCCCTCTTGGAGTTTTTTTCTTAGAAAATATTATAGCTCTGTGTTTTTCTGTCCCTCCTTTATTTTAAGTAGAGCTGATTCTAACTTAGTTGTTTTTTTAGGTTTTTAACAGCAAGCCAAAAACAAGCATCTAAAAATTTGTGTTACTCTTGGACAATTCTGTCATACTCTAAGGCATACATTTCCTGAAACAATGTTATTTTTATCTCACTCATGATTTCCTTTAAGAATCAAAGAAATGAATATATGGTATGCAGTATTTCTCATAAACCTCATATATTAAGAAAAATAAAAACTGACAGATGGAACCTATTTCAGAACACATAAAAAATCCCTTAGTTTTAAAGTTCTTATGATCTTTAAAATGGTTTTTCAAAACAGGATACTATGCTGTATTTTGGAGACAAAAGTTTAGGAAATTGTCTTCAACACAGGTTTGATTTCCAGTTGTCAACATCATGTAACTAATTTCTGTTACATCCATTAGAGATGGTAGCTTCGGCCTTTCTGTTAAATATAGATGGTAAGTGTTGGAAAAGGTGGCTGTAATCTTATGCTTTATTTTATCTCTAGGTATTCTGTTTTTTCAATTTCTAAAGAAAGAAACATGACATAAGTAACAGTCGACAATACAAGAGTACAAGTATAATAACATGAATATTTCCAAACTCTCCCTTCTAATCAGCATCACCCTCATGTGAGACTGATTGGGAAGCATTCTGCTTTGAAATCCACTTTTCGATGCATCCTGTAACAATGGGAACCCCTTATTTAGCCACCTCTACCTGACGATCTCATCAGGTTAAAGGACATAATGAAGTGCTAAAGGAGGCCAAGCTGCCTCATGCTCACATGGGGTGCTCTGTGTTGAAACTTTCAGAGCTTTATTGATGCAGTCAGACTAGAAAAATTAGGGCAGAACCAATTTTCTCCATGGCCTTCACCCTTTCCCACAGAACACAGATAACCACCGTAATCAAAAGGAAAAGTAAAATTTCCCTCCTCTGTTTTTTGTCAAGCTAAAATAATGGGATTTCTTTATTCTTCTCAAAGATGTTTCACTAGGTCAAATATAAATCTTAGCAGAATATCACTTATGTTTCAGAACAAGTAGTTTATTTCCATTTCTTTCCCTCTATTACTGATTTATGAATAATGAATATTAAAATAAAACTTAAATTTGAAAGCTTTACACCAAGTTGATGAGATTTTTAGCTTGTATTAATGGACAAAATATGACTATATTTTTATTGTTTTCAACATGTCAATTATAAAAATTTGTGTTGATGAAATTAATACAACATAAAATAAATCCTAGATCTAGGAGAGAATTAATTCTTCTCATAGATGTAAAATTTGAAAGAAAAAATATAAAGGAAATAAGGTAAAAATAAGACGTGTGTGGTGAAATCATCTTATCACAGATTGTATTGCTTTCTTTAGTAAAAAACAAAAACAAAATGCTTTAAAATTAGAGAATCAAAACAAATTTACTTCATTAAGGCAAAGGCTAAAAACTGGAAGTCTGAAAACTGAAGACATATTTTGTTTGGCTGTCATAGTTGGCTTTTCTTTTAATTAAATTTGCTGAATTTCCACTACTTCTCATTTTCTTACTCTGTGCTATTTTACATATTTTGTTATCTGTCTGGCCCTGAAGTCATCTGGGTTTGTAACCCAAGTTTTAAAAAGTTCTTATTGCCTGATTTTTAGAAACATTAGCAAGTGTGTAGAACAGATTCTCTTATTTACAATTGGTAGACATGAAAATTCTTTACAATATTTTTTGAGGGTATTTGGCAATATTTACTAAAACATTAATTCCTTTGAATCTTCCATCTCTCTGAAGTTATTCTACAAAAACACTCATATAGGTGCGTAAAAGATTTTCACTGACACATTGATGAAGAGTGAAAAATAGGAACCCTTTCGAGTACATGTCAATAATGTATTGGTTTAATACATTATAGCAAATACATATAATGGGTTATTATATAGCTCTTTAATAAAAGAATGAGGTAATTCTAATGCACATTAGTATGGGAAGATATTAAGTAAGTATTTTTAAGTGAAAAAAAGATGGTGGCAAAATATTTTCATGTTTCTGTGAATAATTATCTCATATTATTAAAATGATAGTTCATGAGTATATTGCTAACGTATCCCAAACTAGTCATTGAAGCTACTATCTTTGGTGGGGTGGGATTCTGATGGGTTTCTTATATTTTAAACCCATATTCCTGTAACATTTAAATTATTAGAGCAAGCATAGGTGACACATAATAAAAACTACAGACATCTAAAACACTGAAATTTTCTATAGAAACTGTCAGTTAAGAAACCACGTTCCTATATTATTTATACCTTAGGCATAGCTTGGCTGTTTATATAGTAAGAATAGCGATATATAATATGATCCAAATTGTAAACATTCATTGGATTATGTTTTACCAGCTTTTTACTTCTTTGTTTTCTTATTTAAGTGAATAAAATGCATGGTTAGAGACATAGATAAAATTATTAAAATCTAACTCATTCTTAGGGAGAAGAAAATCACTTAAATATTTAGGTATATATTTTTCATAGATTTAAGAAGAGGAATATGTTTGGAGCCTCATAAAAAGTTTTATGCTCGGTACAAGGTCTGTTCTCAATGATTTAGATATTTCTTCCTCTGACTCATATTTTAAAATTCTATAATAACCTGTTTCGGAAGGAAAGAAAAATCATATTCCTCCTGCTGTTGAGATGAAAAATTTGTCATCTCTGCCTTAATCATAAACTAGGCAGTGAGTTACAAAGTAAACTTAGCAAAATTTAGATGCTCTGTCCTTGTAGACTGTTTGGTCTACAAATGGACAGATGATGTATAAGATGACCTTCTTGTTATCAAGGATAGGATCAAGAATGAGGCAAGCTTGCCTGCAGGAGAAGGGATTTGTGTGCTAGCCTTGGAGAACTTTATGTCTGACCTGATCACAATGACAGCTTTATTGCCACAAAGAGAGAGAATTAAAACCTGCTGGCCTAGAGAGGAACTTGAAATAAAGAGAGGATCATGCTCTGGAAAATAAGATCATGGCTTGGACTATTGTCATCATTGTCAATTGCAAACATATAGTGAGAACCCACTAGATGAAAATCATTGAATTAAGTGTGGTGAAGCTGATGTTATAAAACCCACCGGAGAGGCTGACGGAATGATATATATTTACACAGTTGATTTAATGGTATATTTAGTCATTCTTGACATCACCAGAATTGATAACACTCAAAAGTTTCTGTTTCCTATGAAACTATGACTCTTCTCATAAAAATGCACACAAAAGTTTGCATGTAAAATCAGAGGTTCATTCATCCATAGATCCCTGATTTTCCTGTGTAAGGATTTTCTTAGGTTAACACTAAAGGTGAAAAGGACAATCTGGTTT